TTTTTTTGTATTTTTAGTAGACATGGGGTTTCACCATGTTGGTCAGGCTGCTTTCAAACTCCTGACCTCAGGTGATCCACCCACCTCAGCCTCCCAAAGTGCTGGAATTACAGGCATGAACCACCACAACCAGCCCTGCAGTGAGTTTTGATGAATATACTCCAGCCTGGGTGCCAGCAAGAACCTGTCCCTAAAAAAATTTTTTAATGAAAAATAATTTTTATGCTTATTAAGCATACACTTATAAAATTTATTCTAAAAACATTGAGTAGAGAAAACAAGTCTCCTCTCCCTGGAAATAAAGCACAGTGTCTTTCTCACCCTACAGATGATCCAATTTCTCCCTATACGGGCTGGTTGCTGACTATTACAGAGACCAAGCAGCCGCAGCCTTTACCGATGCCTTGTACCGGAGGATGCTGGGCACCCCTGGTTGACTATCTCCCGGAGACCATCACTCCCCGGGGACCACTCCATAGGTGAGTAGCCTGTGTGGGTAGAAGGAAACCTTAGCTTTGACTGGACTTTTCTACCTATGACAAGAGAGAAACCTGTTCCAGGTCTCACCACGTTAAAGGGTCTCATCAGTCAGTGGGATCCTGCCTGATCTGACGGCTGGCTTCCAGCATATTAGCAGAGTTTGGTCAAATATTAACCAACATTCAAAGCTGCCTGTGACCTTTGAATTTCTCCTTGATGTCATCTGGATATGGGCATGCATTCTATGATGCTTTTTAGACTATAAGCAACTTGACGAGAGGGACCTTGTCTTTGATAGCTCTTCATCCCTTAACTCGTGTTGTGCAGCTCTGTGCTGTTATGAGTTAAACTCTATATCTCTGGAATAAAAGCCTTGCATAACTCTTTAAACTCTGTTTCCCTGGAATGCTGTGTTATGAGTTAAACCTATTTCCCTGGAATAAAAGCCTTACATAACTCTTTAAAAATACTTAAGAGTTGGCTGGGCACGGTGGCTCACACCTGTAATCCTAGCACTTTGGGAGGCCGAGGTGAGCAGATCACAAGGTCAAGAGATCAAGCACATCCTGGCCAACATTGTAAAACCCTGTCTCTACTAAAAATACAAAATTAGCTGGGTGTGGTGGTACACACCTGTAGTCCCAGCTACTCGGGAGGCTGAGGAAGGAGAATCACCTGAACCTGGCAGGTGGAGCTTGGAGTGAGCCGAGATCGTGCCTCTGCACTCCAGCCTGGCAACAGAGCAAGACTCCATATTAAAAAAAATACTTAAGAGTTACATCCAATTGTAACTCAACAGTCTACCAATATTTCCATCCCCTTTAGAAGTTGCATTAATTTCATTATTTCATTGATTAGGTGCAATATTGCTGTAATTTTTATGACTGAAATGGTGGTGGATCACAGCGTACGAGAAGATTGGGCGCTTCATCTACCATTATTACTTCACGCTGTCTTCTTAGGTAAGACTGGATCTAAAAGGCATTCTAGCCAATCAGGTTAAAAACATACAGAAGTAATCCATAGAGGTTTCCTTTCACATTGGCATCCTATTTGACTCATTTCTGGAATATTTGGTCTCCACCATTTTTCATTGCCCTTTTGTGACTTCTGCTCTGAAATGTCAGCTACTTGGTCACTGTTTGAAATTGCTCTACTATGTAAACATAGTGGTATCTCACTAGTGCCACATCTATAAAGATATCCAAAATAAATTGGGTCTTTTTGAAGGTCTTTGGCTGAGGTGACAAATTTTAAGCTATGAGGCATAGTCAGTGCATAAAAAGAAAGGATGTGGGAAAGAGTGGGCCAAGCCCTGAGCTTTGTAGAGCAAAAATGAGAAGAGGAACCAGCCAGGGAATCTCAGAAATTCAGTTAGAAAGAGACTAATAAAATTAGAATCTTTCAGTAACAGGGATATCCAAGGAAGAGAACATCTCAAGAAGAAGGAATGCTAACCACGTCAGATGCTACAGAGAGGTCAAGAAAAGTCCATCTATCAGCATTTCCTGAGAACATTTTACTTAAGAAATAAAGCATTTTATTTTTCCTAAGCTCAACTTCTGTATGTTGGTAACACAAACAATAACAAAGAAAACTAAACATTCTTTTAACATGTTCCTCCTGAGTATTCTGGAATCTTTACTATCCCTGGAATCTAAACGAGCTTAACATTTGTTTATACTGAGAGATTCTACTGTTTTGTTCCAGGTTTGGACCATTACCGGCCTGAAGTCTTTGAACACAGCAAAAAACTGCTTCTTCACCTCTTGATTGCCCTCTCTTGCAACAGCAATTTCCATTCCATTGCTTCCGTGCTTCTGCAGACTCGAGAGATGGGTGAAGCTAAGACCCTAACCGTGCAGCCAGCTTACCAACCTGAATATCTCTATACAGGTAACAGAGAAGGACAGTTAGAGCGCATAGGACAGTCACAAATGCAAAGATAACTAACCACAGGTGCCACTGGAGCCCAAGTTAACTTCTCTCATACTATGATCTCCAATTTTCCAAGTGATAAATCAACAGGACAATAAATACACACCATTTCACTTGAGGTGAACTTGCCTCTCAAAAGCTTTCTTTATTACTGCATATTAAAAATATTTTTTTCCTGGTTATAGCTATGATTGCTGCCACCAATGAATATGTTCCTACTGATGCATTGGAAATGTAAGTGCCCATTGGCCAGGAGCAACAGTCTAGAACACCGAAGGGTGATGGTATACCCAAGCGAGTTTAAACAGAAGCACCATGCACTGAGTTTGTTGAGAGTCCACCTTTAATGGCCGACGTCCAAGAGTCAGCTAGAGCGCAAATGTCTCGGCCACGAACAAAGGGTGGTCAACGTTTTTATACCAGTTTAGGGTCAGAGGGCAGTAAGCGGATTATTACAGAAGCAGAAGGAGAGGTTAGGGAAAGGTAGGGGGTGCCTAACAACAAATGCTATTTAAAGTTGTTTTTTACTCTGAATGTGGGGTAGGCAGTTACACAGCTGCAGGTACAGGATGTATGGGCCAGTGGGCCCTGTTTCTCAGACAACTGGTTACAAAGATGCCAGTATCTCAGACCATAAGCTTTCGGAACAGAATGCCCTACATAGCTCAGGGTGGGCAGCATAGCTCAGGGCGGGCAAAATGGAGTTAGCAGGATTGTTTACAATGTATTCGTTACAGCCAAGCTCAAGTTAGGGTATTTCAATGAGAACACACAAAACAGCAACCATGGCTACTGCCTGTGAGCAGGTCACAGCCAAGGTACCAGATATATCAGTTGTGTGCCTTCTAGTGCCCATGAAGGAATTTTCACTTTATTGAATGACCTTTTCCTTGAAGGCGCCGTTATGGGGAGCCCATTAAAAACCATTGCAGTTTTGAAACCAAAAAAAAATTAATTTTAGAAATAGGAATAGAGGGGTTGATCCAAGATGGCCGTTTAGGAACAGCTCAGGATTGCAGCTCCCAGTGAAAGCGCAGAGGGTGAGTGGACGCCGCGTTTTTATTGCCCACAGACTAGGAAACTCCCAGGCAGAGGTGCTCCACGGTCGCCAGCGCGGCTGTTTCGGCCAGCGCGGCTGTGCCTGCCGGGGCCGCTGCTTTGCCCCGCGCGGCTGCTTTGTCGGCGCCCCGGA